AAGAAGACAGGCAGCAAATGTTTCAATGGATTGTTTTTCTATAAAATCAAGAATACATTCAGGGGTCAAAGGATCTTAACAATTCCCTTTCTCAGACGCCTTATCTGGAATTTGAGTTCCTCTGCAACATTCACTCAATTTAACATTCACTCTGCCTTGCTCTGACTTCTGTTCAAGAATAGCTAATGACCAGGCGTGGTGGCGCATACCTGTAATCTTAACACTTCAGGAGGCTGAGGGCAGAGAATCACTTTCAACAGGAATAGCTACCTATGTTGAATACAGTTTTTTTCTGTAGGGAATTATGTACATGCACAGATACCTAATTTCTTGATGAGATATAAACAGAGCAAACCTCATGTTTGTGGGCAAAGGAGAAATGTTTATCAGGTTCAGCCATAATATCGCAAAGCTAGGTGATCTAAATGCACACACACAAGTCTATTTGAAGAGCAGAGACAAGAAGTAGACAACTGGCATCAATGGAAAATGAGAGGCAGAAAAATGAGTTTAAAAACAACCATTGAAATGCTATAGGAAAGAGTTCACTCATGCCAAGGACAGAGGAAGTATATAAAGAGGTTACTGAATGTAAGAGTCATCTCAATGATGAAATAAATAAACTGATGTAGGCTTTACAAGAACCATGCGATATATTGAAAAGTGTATGAGCTTTGGAATGACTGAAGTAAAATCAATTTTGTATGTGTATCTCAGCTCTATTATTTGCTGCCTGTGTAAATTTTAAAAAGAAAAAGAAAAAACTAATTTTTTCAAATCTCAGATTCTTTCTTATATAAAGTGGTTAATAATATGGGACATTTCAATATTGAGATCCCTAGCACACAACTTAATACATAATGGCTGCTAAATGAATGACACACATCATAGTTAACTATTTTAGTAGAAAATTTTGGTTTTCTCTTTTAGACTTTATTTGTGGTAAAGAACACCTATATCTTGTTTAGTTCTTACCCTTCTCTATTACCTTGATAAAAATCCTTCTTTTCTTTCCCTTCCTGCCATCTTGCACATCCATACAGTACCCATTAGTCATGAAGGATTAGAATTATGAGTCAGGATCAATATAAATCAAATATTAATTACTATAGAAGTGTTTATTAGTACAGTCTTATTCTATTACACATAAAAATAATAGAAATAATGTCTGTGTAATAATGTTTCACTTACTATTAAAGTTAATTATTAAAATTATATTTCCAAGATAATTTTTTATGACCTATCACAGACTTAGATTGCAACAAAAAGGCACATTATATCATTATTTCCAGGTTCAATACTTCATAAAACAACATTAGTTCTTTGCAGAGAGTACTCTCTGCAGAAAACAAAATAGTTGGAATTTATATTTTAAGATTTCTCATAGTCTATAGTCTCTCCCTGGTGGATGACACTCACTGAACACGCCACCTTTTAAAGGACCATATCTTTATGGTAGGAGCTGGGTAGAAGGATGACAAATATTTTAACTACACATTTTATGTTCAGGGATTTCCCTGGGGATTCCATCAAAATAGTTCCGTGTCAAAAATAGCTAAGTGCAAATCCTCTGATAGAATTAGTGATCTCTTTCCGCTTTTTGCCACAATTTACTTTTTCTCATTCAAGAAATTTTCTAAGCTTCAAAAATATATTTTCATCAAATTGGAATCGTTATTATAATATAAAATTGACCCCTTTCAAGCCCTGGTGTTCATGTTTCACAATCCAGGCTATTTTAAACCTTTTCGTATGTATTCCTTGATTCAGTAGAAATAAATTCTTCCCTTCTTTGTCTTCCTTTTGAAATAATTGATATCTGTCTTATTTCACTTATTATATTCTGCCTTTCACTGCAATGAGGGGATATTCATCTCTCAATACCAGATTACACACTCCTAAAGCTTTTGCTCCACTTAATTTCCCATATAGTTTGGCATTGTATCTTGTAAGCATAGGGGTTCAAGAAATGTGTGGTGAATTAAATTGATCTGAGACAAATCACATTCCATAGCAATGTGCATGGATCTTTAATAGAGAAGTTATATAGAAGAAAGATAATTTAAACAAATCATTTTGTCAAAAGCCTTAACCTTGACCAGAGCTAGCCCGTTTTGATGGTTAATTTGATGTGTCATCTTGCCTGAGCACATGCTCAGGTGCCTATATATTTTATTAAACATTATTCTGGTTGTATCTGTGGGGATGTTTCTGGATGAGATTAGCCTTTGAATACAGACTGAGTAAAGCAATTTGCCCTCCCCATGTGGGTGGACCTCATCCAATCCCTTGAAGACCTGACTAGAACAAAAGATGGAGTAAGGGAGAATCCACTCTCTGACTGACTGTGCTTGAGCTTGGACATGAGTGTTCTTCTGCCTCAGAGCTCATACTAGAATTTATTTAGGTCATTAGCTCTTCTGGTTCTCAGGCCTTTGAACTCAGACTGGAACTATACCATTGGTTCTCCCTGGTCTCAAGCTGGCAGTTGCAGATCGCAGATTTGGGGACTTCTTAGACTTTTTAACAATTTAAACCAATACTATATGCATATAAGCCATATATAAGCATATGTGCTCTTAATTGGTTCTGTTTCTCTGGAGAACTAAGACTAATACACCCTCGTAATCAGTTTATCAATGCAAGAAAGAGAAAATTATGCTAAAGATGCACATGCTTTAGCACAATAAAGAAAACATGGGTCTATGTTCTCTTGTCTCCATTGTTACCCTACAGTGTTGAAAATGAAGAGTCAATTATGAGTTTTAAATCATACATTATCTATACTGGGACATTCAATCAACATAAGTAACACATTTTTTGCATGACCTTTGATAATGCACCTTTTGTCTTGTCACATGAAGAATAAATAAGCACCTAACACTCTGTGGGTGCCCCACTTCCCCCTTACTGTCTGCCAGCTATAGCTAACATACCCCTGAGGGACAGTGATCACCATAAACAGAAATTCATTGCAACTTATAAGTTGGAGGTCTGAAATATTTTATCTGGAAAAATCTATCATACAATACCTTCAGACTACTTGTTTATTTCTCCTCAAAAAGTACAAAGAACTTCATAGGTAATCACTAACAAGGAGATAGCTGAGAAAAGCAGCAACAGCAAAAAGGTAAACACCCTGCCCTCAAGCTCACACCTACGGAATTAACAAGCCCAACCAGGAAATTATTTAATTAATTAAGCTTAAAGAATCAAAGTAGCATTTTGGTCTCATTGTACAAACAACGTCACAACAAAACCCATGTAAATCAATAAATAATCACACACATCAGTCGTGTAGAGGAGAACCCGTACCGAAAATCACTTAACAAGATAGTTTTAATAATCACAAATAGTGACCTTAATTTTATCTTACATTTTATTTCAATTCATTCTATTGTGAAAAATTTTGCACTCTCTATGAGAAACTAAGTTGCAAAAATACAATTAAACTTTCCATATGCCTCAGGGAGTATGTCCTTTTCCTATCCTCCTACCATAAAATTAGAAAAGGAAGCTGATGGCTATTTAGCTAAGAGGATCCCTGTGGGTGACTGGAAAGTTGCTGGGGAGGAGCAGAGAAGACATTACCTCTGTTAGGAAGGTCACGGTTATTTTGAAGAGAATGGGTTTTTGCCTCAGTGACTATAATACTACTGTGTAGATCCAGGGGCTATACATTGACTTAGCATGTCAGGAAAGTACAACCCAAGCCAGTGTGATACATTGACATAGGAATTCAGGAAACACCTATTCGGATTTATGAATATTTACTCTAATACTCTCTAGAGTCAAGCCATTTAAACATGGAAGTCACATATATCCACGTAACTAAAGAACAAGATTTTCTGTAAAGCACTAAAGGACCATATCTAGGTCTTTATTTTCTCTTGCCAAAACCATAAAGTTTGTGTAGAAATCGATTGAAAGACTACAGGGCAAAGTGTCATAGAAAGATTGGAATTATTATAAGCATAAATTATTCCTCTGATGGTTATTGCTGTGGTACGGTTTGTTTTATACAGCACTATAATGAAGCAGAATTCTGTTACTGTCAAGTTTTTTGATCAGTAAAGATAATGAACTCAAGTAATTCACATTAGCATTACATAGAGCTCTTCCAAGACCCCAACATTGTTTATTTCACTGTGAATGCAGGCTTGGGTATTTTGCAATGTTAGGATAACCATTTAATTTCCCAATCTATATTCATTTTTAAATGAAAGGAAGAGGGTTTTGGCCTCAGGACCAGTGATACGGATCTGTAGATCCAGATTCTAACTCTATACGTTAGTTTTCACTCTTTGACCCATGTTCAGCAACAAAAATATACTCAAGAAACCTGTTGCAAAGATGCAAATTTAACTTGATTAATTGAAGTATCACAAACATTAAGCTACAGTTATAACCTGCTTTTCATAATTCATTGCTCTTTATTTTACTTCTTTTGGCTAAACAAATATCAATCCCCTATAGATGTTTAGAATTGATTGACAGATTCAACAAGTGATATGTACTGATGCATATGTTTGCTTACAACATGTACTAAAAAAATACAAACAATGAGAGCTAGAAAAAATACAAGTTTAATGTAAAAAGGGCTTTCTTTCAAAGTTGATTATTCCGTTCTTCTTTTTGTTGGAGTAATTTCCAGTCATTGTTGGGTGGGGTGATTGAGAAGAATTGATTATTTAAATAGGACTGCATCTTTGGAGGTTGCACTTAGGGCAAAATGAATATTGGATATCTTGGTAATGGAAGCTCTCCCTAAGGGTATTTGAGCTTTCTTTTCAGAGTAGGTTAAGTGCCATGATTAATACTCCGAGTATCATCTGCTGTGTTATCAAAAGATGTGAACAACTTGACATAGAAAGAAGATAATTCACATTTGCCACAAACTAAATGCAGTTTCAGCCCTTTTCCAAGGCTTGGGTACATCAAATGCTGCTTGAAATTTGACTCACTAGAGAAAGTGTCCCTTTCTTTTTCTCCCTACTTAGATTGTTATCTGGGAAAGAATCATTTGCAGGTATGAAGAGAATAACTTATCAGAAAGGAGAAACTGCACAGAAGATCCAGAGGCTCAACTGTTCCCACATGTACTGAGCTTCTGACTCATTCTGATTCTCAAGAATCAGACAAATCTCTGTTTCACAGCAATTTTCAGGGGCATTTGGGGGCTGCCTGGCTGCTATGAGCCAGTGGTTGCTGTGTGCCTGCAGGAGGAGGTCATCTTGCAGAGGAGTAGAAACGTTAAGTTTGCAGGGAAATAAAGAAAGATAAAAAAGGAGCTAGTCTGCATTGTGGATGCCATTTATCCCTTCCTTAGACTGGCAAACAATTTTCTTTCAAATACAGGGAAATAATATATTTCAACATTGTCAAACATGTTTATCAACATATTTGTATGCAATCTGAGTCGTTCATAATGATTTTCCTTTCTCCAGGCATTGGCAAACATAGATAATCAATGTTACTCAGTGACTACAAATAATTGTCTCAAAAGACTGTCTTCTCTTTTCAACAGACAGATTGTCAAACTACCAAACAGTAATGCGCAGCATAGCAAAAATATCACTTAATTGACTAATTGCAAATTAACACTTTCTAGGCATCAGTAATGTTAGAAAGCTTTAATATCTATAGTAGTTTATTTTCCTTAAAGACAAAGAACAGCCCAGGATCCATTTAAAAAGCTACTTACTTGCTTATATAATAGCACTTAACAGCTATTTTCTCTTTCTTGAGGCAAACTTGGGATTCTTCATACCAAGCAGATGTCTTGGGGACAAAGGCAGTAATGTGAAATATTATTACATTTTTTTGAAAGAAAATAGAAGGAAATTTGAACAATAAGTATATGCACATATATAGTGAAATAATTAAAAGATGAGTAGAAGGGTGATGATTTACAAAAGCATAAAATAAGTATTAAGATTCCAGTAATTCATAAATAATGGAAATAATATAGGGAGTCTGGCTAGAGTACAGACCATTTGCAAGTTCCTACTTTCTTTCAAGATTAAATAACTTCTCAGAAATCAGTATGCTGTTCTGATACTTTTCCCCCATACCACGATACACCCACCACTTTATTATTTATAGAGATATAGGTTATATGATTGAAGATGACTCTGTTCCCAGAGCTAAAACTTCTGGGGATGGCTGATCAATTCCAATACTTCTAATACTCTAAGCCACATACTCTAACCTAGCATTAGTTTGATCCCAGACTCCAAGGGTTCCTAGGGTTATTTTGAAAGAAGGATAGAGCAACTGGTGAAGAAAGCTTGATTTGCATCTGATGGGAAAATTTTTACTTATATTATTAAAATCCACACATTAAACTTCTGAAATTTAAGGTGATGTCAAACTAAGGTGAAATGATAAATCCTAAAGGAAAAAATATGTATTGTCAGAGATTTTACTCCTTTCTTTTTTTTTGAGACAGAGTCTCGCTCTTACCAGGTGCCAGGCTGGAGTGCAGTGGCGCCATCTCGGCTCACTGCAACCTCCACCTCCCGGGTTCAAGCAATTCTCCTACCTCAGCCTCGCAAGTAGCTGGGACTATAGGAGTGCGCCACCAAGCCCAGCTAATTTTTGTATTTTTTGGTAGAGACGGGGTTTCACCATGTTGGCCAGGATGGTCGCGATCTCCTGACCTCGTGATCCTCTCTACTCGGCCTCCCAAAGTGCTGGGATTACAGTTGTGAGCCACCACGCCCGGCCCAGAGATTTTACTCTTAAGATGCAAAGCTCCTTAGTGCTTAAGAGCATTAGTGTTGATATAAGATAACTTCGGTCATGACTTTGACATTTACCAGCTGTATAACCTCAGGCAAGTTACATAATTTTTGTCTCAGTTTGTTCATCTGTAAATGGGAATAATAACTTACAGGACATTTTGTGATGATTACATAACGTGATTATCACAATGCCTGCCATATTTCACATGTCCAAAAATAGTAATTTTAATAATATTTTTAATAATAATAATTATGATGTTTTCAAGGACTTTAAGGAATTATAAGGGAAGATTTCTCCATATGCAACTGGCTCAGTATGGTTCTTGGGCACTAATTAGAAGAGAATTTTAACTGGAAATTACATGATCTTCTGCTTCTGACAACTTTTTCTCACCACCACTTTGCTTTACATTTCTAACTCTGCCTTCAGTAGGTATTTGCCTGATGAAGGTGCTATTTCTTAAATAACAGATAAACTTGAAGAATAATGATCAACGTTACTTAATAATTTATTCAGTTTTCTACTGAATTCTGCTTCCACCTAAAAGCATGGCCCTTATTTCCCCATGACACATTTAATTGTAAAAGTTTCTCCAACCTCTGTTGGACTGCACGATCACAATCCAGTAAATGGAAAATAAATTTAATCAGTCAACAAGGGATATTTACTGAGTTTCTGTATGTCCCACGCACTGTTGTAAGGACTGAGGAAGCCTCAGTGACAACACAATCATTCCCTCTCTGATGTCCCTTATGAAGAATGATTGCAATTTCAGAGAGAGCTTCTTTATCTTTGTCAACTGTGGTCAAGTATGCTTTGAATGAAGATTTCGGACTCATTTTTCATTATTTCCTCTCTGGTGCAACATGTATTTATCTTCAGAAGCTTTTTAATAATAACCTTTTCCAAAGGATCCTCGTTCATATTTCTCCAAAGATGGGTTTACATATAGAAGTTGTGCTTAGCCCCACCCAAGAACCAGTAAAGCAAAACAAGAAAAGAAACAAAGAACTAAGCAGAATCACAGCCATTAAAATTTTCACCTAATTCAAGACCTAACTGAGAGGTATATTTTCTACCATTGGATTACAGAATTTTGCACAGAAATGCAAATTTTACAGCTGGGGAGTAAAGTTAAGGGGGTAAGGGAAAGAATCAAGAGGTATAAACCGTTTCCCTAGGAAACTTAAAGTGCTTGAGAACCAATGATTTAATAAAACAAAGCATATCGATACATTCAAAAAGAATAAAGTTAAATGAAATGAGAAAGAGAAGAAGGTCTGTGGCAAATACTGTATTCATTTATATGATAACTGTTGGAGAAATTTCTCTCAATTGAGAAGTTTAATGTCCTCACTATAGGCCCTCTCACTATTCTAATTTTCTTAATATTAGTATAGTTTGGTCAAAACTTTAGGTCAAAAAAACTTGTAAAAAGAATTTGCAATCAGAGAATGAAGGATTTGTTAGTTAGCTGTCTTTGAGTGTGCAAACTTTGTGGGAAGGGAGTCATAGACTGAGTCACAGCTGAATCTTGGGCATTCAGAGGGTGCTGTGACACCATTGGATACTAAAATTATTAGATAAAGGAGGTGGAAAATACAGAAATGGTCCATAAAGAAAGGGAAACAGAAAACACTTTATTTTTGAAAGTCTGTTAGCATCTTATTTGCAGCAAAAATTATCAACCTCTGATAACTTTAGTATAATAAGGATGCTAATATTGAAGTCATCAAGATCATTAAATACAGATTGAAAATATAATCATGGTGGCCCAATTTCATCCAATATCTTCAGTCAAGAAGGTAATAGGGAAAAAAAGAAGAAATACCAAATATTTTCTTATATTCTTCTTATCTAACCTGTTTTAAAATTAAGGTGAAATAGAACTGTATGCACAGGATCTTTAGAACTAAATGAGCTTAAGTGCCACAGCTATATCATATTATCTTGAAGGGAAAGGTAATTATTTTTGTGACAGCACCATTTCTTTATCACTAGTAATCTAAAATTATATATTTTGTCATGTAATTATTATCTATAAAAACAGCCAGTAGTATATTAAACTGATACTAAGAACTCCTTGTTATGCTTCAACTCCAAGGGCAAATAGTCTTGAATTACATTCATACTATTTATTTTATTCATTATTCAATTATTTGTTCAATCTTCTGAAATGAAACACCTCACAGAATTTCTGAAAAAGGCACAACCTTTAACAAGTTATGCAATAGATATTTGAGCCAATCATGTCTGTATTATTTGATGCACACTGATTTTGCCTGGGTATTTTTTATACTCTCTAAGCCTAAATTACTCATTAGTAAAATGATGATAAACATAGTACCAACATCACACAATTGTTTCAAAAATTATTGAATGAAAAGTTCTTAGTAAAATAGCTCAGCCAACTTTAAATTTCATAAATCAATTTGATCCCAATAAAATCCTAGCACACTATGTGTATGTGCACCCGTGTGTGTGTGTGTGCGTGCATGCGTGTTTGTGTGTGTGTGATGTGTAAACTAACACGTGATGTAAGGAAATTTAAAGGACCTAGATTAACCAAGATTATTTTGAAGAAGAACAAAGTCAAAAGATCTGTACTACCACATAGTGATTAAGGACAACACTGTAATAGTAAATAAATTATGGCATTGGCTCAAGATACAGAAATAAACAAAAGAAGTTAATAGAGTCTAGAAAAAGACCCTCACATATTTGTCATCTGATTTCTATCAAAGATGTCACTACAATTCAGTTGTGGAAAGGATGGCCTTTTATACAATGATGCTAGGATAATTTGAAAAATTAAATCTTGGTGCCCTAACTCTCATCATACACAAAAATATTCAAGATTAATCACAGATTTAATTGTAACAATTAAAATAATAACATTTCTAAAAGAAAACATAGCACAATACCTTTGTGTAATTGGAGTAAACAGTTTGCAACTAACATTAAAAGAAAAAAAAGGTGATAAATTGGATATTATTAAAATTAAGAATTTCTTCTCATCAAAAGATACCATTAAGAAAGAAAAAAGGTAATTCAAAGACTGAGAAAAATACACTTTTGACGTATATATTAAATAAAGGATTTATATCCAGAATATATTTAAAAATTACACCATAAAAAGGTAAAGAAATTCAATTAAAGTTAGGCAAAAACTTGAATGGCACTTCAAAAAACAGGATATCCAAATGACTTTTGAACACAACATATTTATTCATCAGAAGACTATACAGATTAAAACCTCAGCCTGTACCATTCATACCACCAAAATGGCTAATATTAACACATCTAATGCTACCAAGTAGCAAGGACAGGAAGCCACTGGAGTTCTATTGCATTGTTGGTTGAAGTGTGAATTGATATGGGCAGATTGAAAACCTCTTCTGAATTGTCTATTAAAGGAGGAGACTCGCCCAGTGGCTTGCACCTGTAGTCTTACCACTTTGGGAAGCTGAGTCAGGTAGATCGCTTGAACTCAAGAATTGGAGACAAGCTTGGGCAACTTGGTGAAACCTTGTCTCTACAAAA